CCTTCCTGTCTCCTCTCCTTCTTGCCCCTACTCGCCCACTCCTTCCCCCTCCCCCCCTCAGATTGAGAAATACAAGAGTGACCTTGAGTCTGACCGGGCCAAGGCCACGGAGATCTGCCCACCCATCGCCACCAAGCGGACGGACAGCAGCATCGAGAACGAGATACGGCAGATCCAGAGGCGGGTGGAAGAGGAGGAGGAGGTGCACGGGAACGAGAGAGAGGTGATGGAGACGTACAAAGGGAAGAAGGAGAGGTACGACCAGGTCATGGGCGAGGTCAGACAACTGCGCAACTACCTCAGCAAGTTGGACGAGGTGAGAGCGATATGTGAGAGGCATCATCATCATCATCATCATCATCATCAACATCATTGCCTTTCTCACCCTGGATGAGTGGTTGGCGGGTGCTCTGGTGTAGTTTGCTTCTTCTTTCCTATCAAACGTCTATCGTCCTTATCTCCCCTTCTTCTTTTTTACGTTTGTTACTCTATTGTAACACCTCTAATCTTCTGGCGCTCTATGACCTTGGCTACCATGCTTCCTACTTGTCCTATGTGCGTGTGTCTGGTGTCTGTGTCTGTGTCTGTGTGTGTGTGTGTGTGTGTGTGTGTTTGTCCTAGGCTACCATACTTGCTACTTGTCCTGTGTGTTTGTTTGTGTGTCTTGTGTGTGTGTGTGTGTGTGTCCTGGGCTACCATACTTGCTACACTGTCCTGTGTGTGTTTCCCCAGGTGATGGAAAGGAGACAAGAGGCCTACCTGAAAATGAGGAAGGACATCGCTAGTCGGACAAAGTAGGCGTGTGTGTGTGTGACATGTGTGTGTGTGTGTGTGTGTGTGTGTCACAAGTGTGTGTGTGTCACAAGTGTGTGTGTGTGTGTGTCACAAGTGTGTGTGTGTGACAAGTGTGTGTGTGTGTGTGTGTCACGAGTGTGTGTGTGTGTGTCACAAGTGTGTGTGTGTGTGTTTGTCACAAAAGTGTGTGTGTGTGTGTTTATCAAGTGTGTCTGTATGTGTGTGTGTATTTTTGTGTGTCTGTGTGTATCTGTATGTGTGTGTGTTTCTGTGTTTGTGTATGTTTGTGTGTGTATGTGTATTTGTGTGTGTCTCTAGCAGTATAGCTATTTCATCATACTGCTGTTCCATCCATCCATTGATCCTTTGGGGGGGGGGAGACCAACTTTGACCTTCACTCTGTCCAACCTTTTGACTGCACATGACCCATGACCTCTGACCCCCCAGGTACTACTTCATCATCCTGCTCTTCCAGCGGAAATACGGCGGGAAAATGATGTTTGACTTTGACAAGAAGACGCTGGACATCCTGGTGAAGACGGAGGGAGGCGTGAAGGTGGACCAAGCGGAGGGGAAGGACCTCAAGGCCCTCTCGGGAGGGGAGCGTTCTTTCTCCACGGTCTGCTTCATTCTCTCGCTCTGGGAGGCCATGGAGGCGCCTTTCCGCTGTTTGGATGAGTTTGATGTGTTTATGGTGAGCTTTTTTTTGTGTGTGTGTCTGTGGGTGTAGGTGTGTAGTGTCTGTGCTTGCATGCATGTTTGTTTGTGTGTGTGTGTGTGTGTGTGACGGTATGCCTATGTGTGTCTGTGTTTGTGTCAGTGCTTCCACTCTTCCGTATTTTAACGGAAATCCGTACTTTCTGCCAGTTCCGTGCTTGTCCGTCCATCATTATCTACTCCCTCCGTAAAAAAAACTGCGACAGTGCAGGACTGCCGAAATTCCGTACTCGCCTTCGTATCGTCTTGTATAAGGTACGGATATTTACGGTCATTCTCTCGGCAACAAGTTAACGTTATAGAAACCTGCCAAATTGCGCATTTCCTGCAATCGGACATTATACCGCTATGTCCCAGTCTCATGCATTCATTGCGTGTTGGTCGGCAGTACATTTTTTACCTGCAGATGGATCAAAATCTTACGAACCTTTTGTTCCAACTTCTTCCTTTCTGTCATTCACTCATTCCTTCTGTCTATCTTTGGATTGTTGCCGAAAATCTGCGCGTTGATCAAGACTGATTTTGATCTTAGACAGAAAATTACTGTCGGAAAGAAACTTTTTTCGCAAATTTTATCTAGATCTAGAGAAATTATCAATGCGAGGATTCTACGGCACGTGAACGCAATATAAGGATAAGGGCCACGATGAAAGAAATATTATGCTGATACGGTCGTGCCCACTACGGATGGGATCGGCCGATTGCGCTGATCGCCGGACTCGGTCGAACAACCATGTTTGTTTTGAAACTGAAAACAAACACGTTTGTTTTTTAGGCGATCGAGTCGGGCGATCGGCCTGATTGGCCGATCCCGTCCACAGTGAGCACCACGTATAAAATCAAGAATAATTCGAAGTGGTGTTTCGAGGTTGTGACAGGCGATTTTCAGACATGAAAATTTAGAAAAAATGTGGGTATACGCTGCGCAACCGTATTTTGAAGGTACATCTATTCATTATTCCCAGGTTTGCCTGCTGTCAATGGTGCAACTACAAATTAATTGAATTATAGTAGCAATGAAAGGGGAACCTGCTTTTAAACATTTCCAGCATTGGAAAGATATGCTGGTGATGAAGTCAAACAAGACAAAATGTTGGTGAAAAAATAAATATTATGGACTGTAGGCAATATCTTCAAACAGGCTCCCAAATGCCGTTTTCTACCCTCTAAAAGCACTGAATTTCAATGCAGAATTTTCCTTACTTTTCAGCTTCAGCTGGTGGAAGCACTGTTGTGTGTGCGTGTGTGTGTGTATGTCTGTCTATGTGTGTCTCTCTCTCCCCTTCTCCCCTCCTCTTCCCTTCTCCCCTACCTCTCCCCAACTCTCCCTCCCCTCGTGGGTGGTTGGCGGGTGCTCTGGTGTGGTTTGCTTCCTCTTTCCTATCAAAGTGTTTGTTACTCTCTTGAGTGGGTGGTTGGCGGGTGCTCTGGTGTGGTTTGCTTCTTCTTTCCTATGAGACATCAATCGTCCTTATCTCCCCTTCTTCTTTTTTATGTTTGTTACTCTCTTGTAACACCTCTAATCTTCTGGCGCTCATATGACCTTGTGCAGTTGCGAGCGCCATAAAACTCTTGCAAAAACAATAACAAAACTCTCTTGTAACAGCTCTAATGTTCGGAACATATATGACCTTATTGTGTTGCAAGTGCCATAAAACTCTTACTAAAACTAAAAACCTCCACCCGGGGGCTCTGGTGTGGTTTGCTTCTTCTTTCCTATCGAACATCTAGTCTTTGTCTCCCCTCCCTTTTTTTATACTTATATGACCTTATTGTGGTGCAAGTGCAGTTAAACTCTTACTTTAAAAAACCCATCTATTGTCGTTATCTCCCCTCCTTTTTTTGTGTGTTTGTTACTCTCTTGTAACACCTCTAATCTTCTGCACTTATATGACCTTATTGTGTTGCAAGTGCCGTAAAACTCTTACTAAAACTTAAAACCTTCTTTTCTCCCCCTCCCCTCTCTCAGGACATGGTGAACCGGCAAGTGTCCATGGATATGATGCTGGAGACGGCAGACATGCACAAAGACATGCAGTTTGTCTTCCTTACACCACAAGATATGAGGTGAGATAAAGAGAATGAGGGAGGGAGGGAGGGAGACAGAGAGAGAGAGAGAGAGAGAAAGAGGGAGAGAGAGAGAGAGAGAAAGAGGGAGAGAGAGAGAGAGAGAGAAAGAGGGAGAGAGAGAGAGAGAGAGAGAGAGAAAGAGAGAGAGCAGACATGCACAAAGACATGTAGTTTGTCTTCCTTAGTCCTGAAGATATGAGGTGAGATAGAGAGAATGAGGGAGGAAGAGAAAGAGAGAGAGCAGTTTGTCTTCCTTACTACTTACTTTGTCCTCAAGATATTAAGTGAGACTAAGAGAAAGAATGAGGGAGAGATTGAGAGAATGAATAAAAAGAGAGATAGACAGAGAGAGAGAGAGCAGGCATGCACAAAGATGGGCAGTTACTCTTCCTTACTACAGTAATAGTTGTAAAGCGCAAGCTGTAGAATGCGGATATTGTATATACATATTAAAATGCAATTAGTCTGACACGGTTAGCATGAATTCGTCGAGACTGGCCCCGGTAGTTCGAGGGATACGTGAACAGTGTTTTGGCATCGGCTGTGTTAGAGAATGAAGGGAAGCAACAAAGATTGCTACTTTAGATTGAGAATGAGATACACGATGAGCAATGCTTTTGAGTTTAATCGGTAATGAGCCAACCGGTACCATGACAGTTTAATTGCGTTGGTCAGTGTGAACGGTCTTTACTTGTCTGCTCCAATCGAGCGGTGCCCTTTTCAAATTTTTCAAAACATTTACAATTTAATAGGATAAGCATATCTAAACAGTAAACAACAACGCGATGACGAAACAACACAGCCTTACCCTGCCTCTCCCACCAAGCGCGCAGTCCTTTGTGAAGAGGGGTGGGGCGGCCGATCGTGTGATGCACAACCCTTCCTCTCACCCGCTCCACACTAGCCTAGCTAGGCCTAGGACCTAGTCATGCATGCCGAGCAGCGCATTAAAAATAGCACAGCTTACCTGCCACTATACTGTCTTCCCACCTAGCTCCTCTCTACACTTGTCTTGGCCGGATAGAATAGGCTAACACTAACGATGTCACCTTAGCAGAAACTGAGCCCACCATTTCGGAACTTCATGGTGACCGTAAAGATGGTTCCAGTAGGGAACGGGATAGAGGGTGCCCACGTCCCTCGTGATTCATTGGAGCAGAGGAAGATAGGACTAACGCTAACATTACTTAAACGCAATCACTCATCACCACTATTAATTCTATAATCATCACCTCTCTCAGATCAATGACTTACATCTATAATCCTGGAATCTCTATCCGCTATTACAGTTAATTGATATACTAAGTATGCATGTAATACACTATTGGACACAATCATATGCACTTTTTTCTACTAATCAGATGGTGTCAATCTCATAGAAATGGGCAAGAGGGGGAAAAAAAAAAAGAAGCACAGCTAGCTGCTTCTGTGGAGGGGGGGGGGTAGGTGGTATTTTACCAACCTTTCCTTTTCCTTTTTTTGTTTTTAAAAAAATTTATTATTATTTTGTCTCAAGTGCACCTTAAAAGACATAGACTTTAGACCTCTATGGCAGCGTTATTAGTTTGACTATTCCGTGTTTGTGTTCAAGCTTCGCGTAATTTTCTTACAAAAATAAAGAAGAAAAAAATGTAAACAACTAGACCGCAGGCACAGTTCGGCGGATGCATGGTTTCGAGTCTTCTGTGTTCGACCTATCTGTGTTATACTGTATTATAGTAACTCTTCTCTTATCTTCGGCACTTGTATGACCTAATTGTGTCGCAAGTGCCCTAATGCTCTGACAAAATATAACCTAACCCTGTGTCTGTGTGTATGTCTCCTTCAGGTCCCTCAGGAAGATCGACAACGTGAAGATTTTCCGCATGCCTGACCCCGAGAGGTCACAGAAGACGCTCAACTTTAGTCAGAATTCCACGGTCAGTTCATAGAGGTCAGCGCCAAGAGGTCATCTGTCAATTTCCGAGAGATCACAGAGGTCGTTGTAATGGTGTGCCCGAATTGAAAATTCTCTGAACAGTGTACAGAATTGAAAACTTTTTGACAGTTATTGAAATGTGGTCATTGTCCTGATAATTCAGGAACAGCCCTTGTATCTGTGTGTGTTATGTGTAAATTATACGTGAATGTTCGTCTTTTGTCTGTCTGTGTTATGTAAATTACCATATACTTTTTTGTTCATCTTTTGTCTGTCTGTGTTGTTATGTGTAAATTACTGTATACTTTATTGTTCAAATTCTGTCTGTCTGTGTTTTATGTGTAAATTACTGTGTACATTAGTGTTCACTATTGATCATCTTTTTTCACATGCTTTCATCTGTTCTGTTTTGATCTGAACCCCCTCCCCCAAAACACCTATATTATTATGTTTAAGTAATAAATATCAGAAATAAAAAATTTGTTTTGTGTTTGTGTGGAGGTTGTTGTTGGAGGGGAGGGGGGGGGGGGCGTTGGAGGGTGCTTAGGTTGAAGGACGGGGAGAGGGATTTGACTGTTCCTACAGTAAGTCCATTTGGGGGTTTGAACCGCTACCTTCCACTTTCCCACCCGTTTCCTAGTGGATGATTGGCGGGTGCTCTGGTGTGGTTTGCTCCTTCTTTCCTATCAAACATTGTATCGTCCTGATCACTCCTTCTTTTTTATGTTAGTTACTCTCTTGTAACACCTCTAATCTTCGGCACTTATATGACCTTATTGTGTTGCAAGTGCCGTAAAACTCTTACTAAAACTAAACTTCCACTTTTCCACCCAGGTGTACTGTTGTTGTTTTTAAAAAGAATGTAGTTGTTTTAACACCCCGATCGCCGCAGTTCAGGTTCAGGCGTTCACCTCTCATTCAATAGATCCTTGGGTCAAATCCGGATAGTGGAGGAATATTTTCTTCCTCTAAAATTTTCTCCCTTTACCTCCTTTCCTGCTCTCTAGCAATGTTCTGTCGTCTGCTTTAGTCTCAACTTTCTGCCCCCACTCCCCTCACCTTCTTTGCCCCATCCTCTGGGCTCCTGACTCTTTCTGCAGGCTTTCTACTGCTACTCCTTGGCTATTTCATAATGCTGTCTTTCAGCCACATCTCTGATCTTTAAAGTAGATAAGATCTAATACAAAATGTATGTATCTAGCCTTCTCGGAAAAGGGCGAAAAATCTCGGAGGTCACGTGTGCAACGCATGTTAAAGATCCTTTGGTGGTCCTACCAAACTGAAAATGTTTGTCTCCGGCGCACTCATTCATACTATGACCTTGCACTTGTGAGCGCTGTATAGTAAAGTAAAATACTTACAAAAAAAACCCAACAACACAAAAAACGTGCTCTTACTGAATCTGAAGGTTTTTATTGGAAAAAATGAAGGAGTCAGTTGGAAAGTACAGAAGAAGATATCCTCCCAAAATCTTGAAAGCAACTTGAAAAGATGGAAGACCAAGAACTTATTACATTACATGTATTAAAATTAATGGACGAGAAGTGGCAGACGAAATCAAAAGTGGAAAGTATAATTTATAACACTGTAGGCTACTTACATACAATGTATATTATACAGGAATAAAAAATAAGCAAAAAATATAATGAAGCAAAAGAAATGTTGATAATGGAGAAATTTTCGAGACGAATCCAAACAAAGCAAATACAAACTTCAACGTGCATTCCAAACTCAACAAGTAAACCGGCGTCAGTGGTGGAGTAGTTGAGAGCTAGTTTGATTCTCGAGTTGGGAGAAAAATGTATGGAGTATCTCGGTCTTTCTGCCTGGATGTTGTGTCTCCCTCAGCCCAGGTTGGCCCTCGCTTGCAGGATCAGAAGCCTGCCCGGTAATAACAGGGATTTTTAAAAATTCCCGTTTTTTCCTACTTTTTGTCTCTGTCTCTATTGACAATAACCGGCCCTCACCGGAACCCAATCGGTTATAGCAGGAACAAAGGCTCGTTAACAATGTGTAAAAAGTAAGACGAGAGAGAGAGAGAGAAACGCAGTGATGGAGCAAGCCCACGCCACTGCAAGCACATGCAGCGGGTGAAACGAGAGAGGGCACCGGTGTGCTGCAGACTTCGATCTAGCCCTAAGCCAAGGAGATTAAAAGTAAACTCCTTGCCCTAAGCTCAGCTACACGCATGCGTAATGTGTCATGCGCAGGCCTGCCACATGACCACGAGAGAAACTAGGCTACCCATGAATAAATACAGCTGGATTAATCCACAAATGCTTACTTCCCTTGCATTTTTGATATAACAGGACGTTTTCTCTGGTTCCACCATCCCTGTTATATTAATATTAGGTTTCCACCGTACATAGCACATAGTGTTGATGATGATGGTGGCGTAAAAAATCATCTACGTTACAAAAATAAAGTAAGTTGGGAAAAAGGATGCCCAATCACAGGAAGCATGAGATCAAAAGGAGTAGATATTTTGATGAACAAAGGGAATCATGTCTGAAACAAATGGTCTCAGAATACATTAAATTGTACATTGTGTCGTTAGAGAAGAATTTTTCAACAAAACAATAGAGGAGCAGCCGACACAGTACATCATGTATAATATATTATTATTATACTGTACACAATTATACATGGATGTGATCAGTCTGCGCTTTGTACTGGAGCTGCGAGGGTGTGCAACTTTGGTAACTAGCGCACGTTGTCTAATCACGTGACACATTGCAGCTTCAACCCCCGAGCCCTAGACGGTCAGAGATAGTATAAGAATGTATAGCCCGAGCCACATAGAACTGTGTGTTCATTTGTGTCTACCTTTAGCCATGGTCAATACCTCTATGATATTCTATCCCCGTGGCTTTATGTAGGCTACCCTGCATAATTTAGCAAAATTTGATCATTTTTTGCATAATTTCTGATTATTTTCCTTTATCGTTCTCTGTTAAAATGAACAGAATCGCATAATTTCTCGTTTTTGGGCTCAGTTTGCATAATTTCAAAAAATTTTTTTTTTTTAAACCGCGGCGACGGGATATTCAGATACCGATGAAATGTCGTTCTCTCCGATGGAAAGAGGGCCAGATTGGACGCACCTGTAGTCGTAGTAAATAGAAATAGACACCCGGATCAATAAGAAAAAATGGTATGGATTTAACGCTTCTATCAACACTATTAGGTTAATTAAGAGGCGGGGCTTCCGAGTTTAACGTCCGTCTCCGAAAGGACCGAGCCAAGTGGGAAATTCGTGTTAAGTGTCTTTCCCAAGGACACAATGTCGGACCGAGCTGAAGCTCGAACCCCCGACCCCGCCACCTCACGATTACGAGTCCGGTAGCCTAACCAGGACCAATCAGATCCATTTTCAAGTTATTATGCCTTACTTAGAAGTTTTGTTTAGGTGTTCATAGAGTACCATTATACAGTGTATCGGAATTCATTATTATTATTATTATTATTATTATTATTATTATTATTATTATTATTATTATTATTATTATTATTATTATTATTATTATTATTATTATTATTATTATTATTATTATTATTATTATTTCAAACTTAGATCTATTACATTTGTGAAATGTTTTCTTATGATCTTAGTTTTCGTCAGAGAAGTAACATTTTGGTGAAGAAAACCAAATAGGGGGGGGGGGGGACTTTAAGCCCCACCCCATAAAACGCCACTGTTTGGTGGGTGCTGTGGTGTAGATTGATGCCTCTTCTTTCCCGTCAAACATCTGCCCACCCCCGAGGGCAGTGCTACTGACTGTAGTGTCTTTCCCAAAGGTGGGACATTTCTCGTTCAAGCACAGTAGAATAATAAATAGGCTGATTCAAGTCACGCTCATAACTGTGCCTGATCTACAACAGGGAACTGCTGCTTTTTCTTTCCTAATCCTTACTATTGTCATTTTCCTCTACTTCTTTTGTATGTTTGTCATGCTCTTGTGACCTGCTATTTCCGGGGAGCCTTGATAGTTGTAGCAGACTTTGTGCTGTTGAAGCTAGAGAGGTGAGCGGAGTCAGTCTGATTCCTTGTAAAGACTTCTCTGTTGACACCCACCCCTTTGGCGCTCATATGACCTTATGCAGTTGCGAGTGCCGTAAAACTACTAAAACCCTCTACTATAAAAATATGAAAATACACCTGCCTCCATCCTCATCCCTTCTTTCTTTTCTTTGTATGTTACTCTCTATTAACACACCTCTGGCGCTCATATGACCGTATGCAGTTGCGAGCGCAATAAAACCTCTACTAAAACTAAACGAACACACCTCTAATTTTCGGCACTTATACGTTATATGACCAAAGTGAGTTCCAAGTGCCGCAAAACTCTGGCTAAAGCTAAACCAAAGTCTGTTGACAATGATTCAAATAAAGATAAGACATGAACGATTAGATCAAATAACCGTTTACTACAAGCGTGCAATCTGTTCCTTAAGAGAAACAAAAACAAAAACAAGCCAGTGCCGTCATTCGGAATACGGCAGTGGCAGTGCCAAACGCCAATAACAATGTCGTGGGTTGACGTGGTCATAAATTCATTGTGGTTGCAGGCATAATGATTGCAATTTCATGACAATAATGATGATGATGATGATGGTAATGTCGAGCATGGTAATTCCTCATCAATGATATAGTGCTAATGATGACACATCTTATTTCCCTTTTCCTAACGATGATGATGATATTAAAGATCCATAGACTCGATAAAACATTTTTCTCACAAGGGATTCAAACTTTCGCTTTCTGCAAAAGTGGCGCCACCTCTAGGCCCTACATCTTCTTTCCCTCTGTTATTTCTGTCTGTCTGTCTGTCTGTCTGTCTGTCTTTTTTAAAAAGTACCTATATTTGCTTTGGTCGCATATAGTGACAATGGTGTTACAAAGGTCCTATTTTGCACTCACTCATGCACACAACAAACGAGAACATAACTACAGTGGAATCCTGTTATAACGAGAGGGAGGGGACCGGTGCGAAATGTCCGTTATACCAGGATTCTCGTTATAAGGAGTCCAGTAATTAATTCAATGGAAAAAATAAAGTAGGCCTAATCTATGAGTTTGGTGTTTTGTTTATTTCTTTTTGTTATCTCCCCGATGATGACATTGTTCAACGTGACCTCTAGATCTAGGTCTTACTTGATCAAAAATCAAATCGGGTTTCTTTCTCTAGCGCTAGCGATGTTGACAGCACGGTGTTGGCGATCAGAAAGAATGCACTCTGGGCTAACTCGCCCGGTGTGTAGTCCCCCACCCCACCACACCCCGTGGTGTGTTTCGTCTGCTTGCGCACGTTACTACACATTCACTCCATCCATCACAGCATTGTGACCTCTCTATCCCCGCATCAGTTTATGTGCGCTGTGCATATAAAATAGCAGCAGCAATATTCCGCTATAGCCTACTCCTGTGTGTGTCCGATTGCGCAATAGCAGTATTTTATTTACAAAGATAAAGAAGGGAAAAAACGGGGTTTTAGAATAGTGTCTTTATAACAGACTTCTCGTTGTTTCAGGACTCGTTATAACTATAAGTGGACTCTACTGTTACATTATTATTACATGTTTAAACAAGCTCCACATCATACACGTTCTCTCACTCTCTCCCTCTCTCACTCTTTCTCCCTCCCCCCCCCCCCATCTCTCTCTCTCTCTCTCTCTCTCTCTCACACACACACACACACACACACACACTCACACGCACACACACATACACACACACACACACACGCACATACACATACTCTCTCTCTCTCTCTCTCTCTCTTACTTCCTCTTTCATTCTTACTCTCTCTCTCTCTCTCTCTCTCTCTCTCTCTCTCTCTCTCTCTCTCACAAGCTCTCTCGCTGTGTGTCTTGTTTATTTGGACAAAGTCTGCCTAGCTATCTAGTATCTATTTGTCTATCTGTCTATCTATCTATCTATCCGTCCATCCATCTATCCATCTGTCTATCCATCTCTATCGGGAGCTGTGATCCATCACTCGTGCGTCAGCGGGGCTGCCAACATTGAGAAGGCGTTGCCTCTATCCATCGCCAGAGAGATTCTCTCGTACAACCACCTCGTTTCCCGTGGGTCACCTGTGAAGTTTGCTAATCGACGACCAACTTTCTGGAAAAACTGGGTCGTCAGGGGGTTGAGAACGCCGGATGTTTCGACGGCTACTGGGACCGAAGTGGTAGCGATCGCCGAGGCCTGCATATTTCCTAATTTTGGACATTTCTGTCTGTCTGGATTTTCCCCTGCAGTACATGACCGTTTTTCGTGTCAAAGTCCTTCTCTTGACTCTTTGCCTAAAGGAACCAAACAGGTCACGATATAAGTATTGTCATTTTAACATGTAGCCAGAGATATAGAGGAACGTAGTAAAAACTGTGTTTCGTTTTAGCTGTCACTGCTGTACTTTAACTTTCTTTTTGGATTGAAAACTTTCAGAAAATGAAGTCGGAAGTTGATGTCACACATACAGTAGATGACCGGATTGGCTGCACTGTTTAGAAAGAAAAACCTTATAAATAGGTTATAGAAAGTCTGATCAACGGTGTCCATCGCTGCAAACTTTTTCGGGGAGGCAAACCGAAATAACATAACCATGAGATGCGGAAGAAAGCCAAGAATGTAGACCGCGCTAGCGGCGAAAAGCATAGTTGTCGTCCTGCCCATGCCTCGTCTTTCGGCGGGCTGACCCAGAGTCGATGCTGGCGATTTCTTTCGGCCCACAGAAGACCGCACTTTGATGATTCCTGGTCTGATCTTCTTAGACTTTGTGACATACATTTTATCAGTCGGATTGTTCTTTCTGTTCTTCTGTCCTTTGCTTGTTTCATCTACAGTTTCATCCTCAACGGCAGTGTTTTGTTCGTTACCTTGCTCTGTCCCTGTTGGATGGTGGGCATTATTGTAGTTTTCTTGTGAGGACGTCTGATTAAAAGAAATCTTTTTAATGAACGGCGCTGAGACTTGGCTCGTTTTGTTCTGCTGCTTGGCATTCGAATCAGCAGCTTCATGGACACTCACGTTCCCTGCTGCATTATGAAGTTTCATGTCACCAGTTTTACCTGATCCGTCGTTATCATTTGAGAAAATCATTCCTCTTTCCGTTGTTCTTGACGTTACTCTGCCCGTGCTACTTACAGCACCGTCCTCTCTGCTTGTATTTGGAGATTCATTACCCCCTTCACTTACATAATCGCCACCACCATTTTTTAGTTCACACATTTGAGCAAATCGTTTTTCAGAAGTACCAGTCCCACATGATGAGCTGTGTTTGGCAAACGTCATACTTTGAGTGGAAGTACTTGAGTGGAAATTCCCCCCGGAAGTGACGTTTAAGTGGGCGTTAGTTGAAACTGTGGAAAGCCCATATTTTTTGCTGTGGCGCCAAGCTTGGGCCCCGATCAGAACGTACATAACGACTAGAGGGATGCAGAGGGATAGGAAAACGATTAGTAACATACTGGAATTGACCGTAGGCCAGATTGTGTTTTTGACACTGTCGTCTATGGAGCACTCGTAGCCGACAATGTCCGGTCGAGGGGTCTTCTTTGTCTCAGTACCGTAGAGGAGGGGAAATGGGATGCAGACGATTAGCGATACTATGGCGAGGAAGAGACACTGAACCTTAGCTTGCTTCACACTCACTTGCTTGCCGAACGGTCTGCATACTTTTCGGTACCTGCCGAAACAAAGATTTATTTTACTCAGTTTCAGTTTTCCCGAATGAAGGTTGCTTGTTATTCTTTCAGTGCTCATGTTATTACTACGTACGATAAAGATACGTTTATGAACTATCAAACAAAGACGTTTGGAACATATTCGTAATAGAATCATTCTGAACCGAAATGAATGAATGTTGAAAGCACATCAAACTGGATAAAGTCAGAACTCGACTCCAAACAGAAATGTTCGAAAACGACTTTCTAAACCAAAGACAGCATGCACGAGGCAAATTAAAATATTAATGAATAAAACCCAATTATCGAACTTGAATCGAATAAAATCAAACGATATATATATATATATATATATATATATATATATATATATATATATATATATATATATATATATATATATATATATCTAAATCAAACAAAAAAATCCGACTATTGGAAACCAGATTGATTGGGTCCAACCCAAATCAGACCTAACAAATGACCAGACCATTGGAAACCAGATCAAATTTGGGGACCTATCACAAACTAAAACCCAGACTATTGAAAGCCACACCAATCAGGGCTGATCCAAATCAAACCAAAGCAAATCAATTCCAAATCAAACCAGAGCCGTAAGTGGTTGGTGGTTGCTCTGGGGTGGTTTGCTCTTTCTTTACTATAAAACATCAATCGCCACCTTCCTGTTTGTGAATGTTACCTTCTAGTTCTAGAACCACTCTTATCATTGGTGTTATATGAGCTACCTGTTCTGCAAGGGTGTTTGGTGAGTGATCTGCTGTGATTTGTTCCTTTTTTACTATCAAACATCTTCCTTTCTGTGGATGTTAATCTCTAGCAACATCTTTAATCTTCGGCACTTATACGACCTACCTGTGTACTTTGTTGCAAATGGCAAAAAAACTCACTAAAAACGATACTTAACCCGAGCTTTAGGTGCGGGTTGTCAACGGGTGCTCTGGTGTGGTTTGCTTCTTTTCTTTTAACAAATATGCAAGGTCTAGATCCCTCATTTTTTGCTTGCTACTCTCTTGTAACGCTTCTGATCATCGGCACCAATATGACTGCATTGTGTTGCATGTGCCATAAAACTCTTGCCAAAACTGGACTTCTTCTGGGCTCTCCAGTTTTGGTAAGAGTTTTATGGCACATGCAACACATCTTTGCTTTTTTGCTTTGTGTTTGTGTATTGACATCTAAGGTTAAATTCAATTTTAGTTGGAACTAATGTTTAATGAGATACTTTTTCGATTATTTTTGCGATACAATAAAATGAATTAAAAATTTATTTTCTTTCACAACTCAGTGTTGCCGCCTCGAGTAAGATTATTGTGTGACATCTCCAGGCCCTATCTGGTCCCGTCTCACTTTGATTACCCTGTCAAACAAGTCAGCCTTTGCCCCTGGCCATACCTGTAGGAGAAGTTTGGTTTCATTGGTGTGTATATCCGTTCGGTTTTATGGAAAAAACCACAAAACTATCCTTGTCTTGTAAAGAAACTGAACTACTTTACATTTTACTTTTACCTTTTCCTTCCTCTGGTATCCTTAGGATGTCGAGAGGAGGTGCAAGTTTCGGTCCTGTGCTATATGTGTAGCGTCTGTGATAGATATTATGTTTTGTTGTTCCAAGACCTTTTTAACCCCATCCAGCCAGGTCTTTCTTGGTCTTCCTCTTGATTGAAAGTCGGATTTTCGGGTGATGAAACTGAACAAAGGGCAAAAACTTTACCTTCGATTTTCTCAAAACGACGTTTGTCGGGATAGCCTCCTTGTGCTTAAAATTAAAAGCGACCGCATATATAAGTGGCCTCACCTGACGATGGAGAGAGCGAGGAGAAGAGCGGCAGACGACACAGTGGTGACCGAGGTGACGAAATAGCGCGCACGGCACATGTGGGGGTTGTCGAAGTCCCAGATGTGGAACATGTCGTAGACCTCAGCTGTGGGGGTGGAGAGAGAGAGAGAGAGAGAGAGAGAGAGAGAGAGAGAGAGAAGGGAGAGAGGGGGGTCAGAGAGAGAGAGAGAGAGAATTGTTAGAGAGTTAGAGAGGGAAGAAGGGGGGACAGAGAGGGAGAGAGAGATGGGGGTGGGAGGCAGAGACAGAGAGAGAGAGAGAGAGAGAGAGAGAGAGAGAGAGAGAGAGAGAGAGAGAGAGAGAGAGAGAGAGAGAGAGAGAGAGAGAGAGAGGGGGGAGGGGACGTGGTAGGGGGAACAGGAAATATGAGATGCTGGGTGGGTTGTGTAAATGAAAAGGGCGTGAAGGGTGACAAGTTTCTTTTCTATTGTTTTTTTTTTGCTCTGTCTGTCTATTTGTATTATCATTGATGTCTCACTTCCTTCCCTGTTGGCTGAAATGTTACTGTTTGTCTTCCTATTTGTTTTTCTGTCCCTCTGTTTGTCTTTGTGTAGACTATTTATATTCTTCTTCTGTCTGCCATTTATAAGTATGTGTTTTATTAGGTGCATAATGGTCTAAGTAGCCTAATAAAAACAATTTGAAAGCAGAGAAATAAACACTGACCGTGGGTGGTTGGCGGGGTCCTCTTGTGTAGTTTGCTTCTTCTTTCCTTCAAACATCTCTCGTCCTTATCTCCCATCCTTCTTTTTTATGTTTGTTACTCTCTTGTAACACCTCAAATCTTCTGGCGCTCATATGACATTATGAAGTTGCGAGCGCCGTAAAACCTCTACTAAAACAAAACAGTGACCCTCTAGAAAGTCAGCCTAATTTGATCCTCAGAGATGTACAAGCCGACTAGATCAAATAATAATAATGGTAATAATGACAATGATAATAATAATGATAATAATGACAATAATAATAATGATGATAATAATGATAAAGATGATGATAATGACAATGATAATAATAATATTAATAATATATATTTACATTGTAATGTCTTAATGCGAATACAGCTTCCCTTTCGGAATCCAAACTGAGCTTTGCTCAGATTTCTCTCTACAATAGGTCTTCTTATCCTCTGTTATAATATCTTTGCATATAGTTTCCCTATGTTTTTTTTTTCTTTCCTCTCCTCTGACAAGCCCATGGTTGTTATTTTCTTTCTTTCCATAAAATTCACTATTTCTGTTTTTATGTCTCCAAGTCCGCTGACATTCCATGTGCCTATTTTAATCGTTGTTCTTGCTCGCTGTCCGTTTACTTGTCCTGGTCTTTTTCAGTTTGAATCAGTCCGTTTATTCTCCTTTGTTATTTTTGTAGCATGACTTACCCGCCGTCAGCTTGTTTTGTAGGCCAGTCACGGTTTCACCAGAGCCCCTTTTGCCAGCAACGTTTCGTGGTGAGCTGGGTCGGCCTTCACGGCCAGCGTAACGCCTCAGTGACATAAAGTCACACCGTACTTCACCTGGACCCAGCTATCCCCTACTTTGTCCTGTTTCCACCTCCCCCGACAGGGACGAAGGGTTGGACTTTGGGAGGTCAGTAACTGTTAACATGCTCAAAACTTTATTCCAGTGTGCACACAAAATCTTAGCCTATTGGCATTTTCAGATTGACAGTACTTAACCAAAGAACAATGTACACACTGCCACACACATTATACAGTGTATCGGAATTTATTATTATTATTATTATTATTATTATTATTATTATTATTATTATTATTATTATTATTATGTTTTATTCCTTTTAACTTAGATCTATTACATTTGTGAAATGTTTTCTTATGATCTTAGTTTTCGTCAGAGAAGTAACATTTTGTTACAGCGCTTTTGATAATCGGCACCAGTATGACTGTATTGTGTTGCATGTCCCATAAAACTCTTACCAAAACCGGAGAGACTATAAGAAGTCTTAAGTCGTCTAATATTCAGTGCCCATTGGGGGATTAGTTCTCTAATTCAAAACGAATCGCCCAACTCGCGGTCTTGAAAAAAAACCCGTTTGTATTTTGAAGGTCACCTTTGGCTCAGTTCAGTCTTTGCCTCGATGGTCGTTTTTCGTCCTCATTCTGGCTAGTCCGGTCTACCAAATAGATTATATAATCCAGTAGCCATTTCTTCCCTTCCTAATTTTGAAACATTGTCGCAGTCAAATTCACCCATAACCGTAAACCTTATAAATTAAATATAAAAAGACGTTCATAATCACCAACGAACAGTATGCCTAACATTTTAAACGGTTTCATTGTCACAGAAATAGCCTGTTCACCCCTTTCGAGCCATTCTATAAGCAGTCACAAGCTTTGATTAAGTAAGCTTAAAGTGAGGCTGGATTTAGTTGGAACTAATGTTTAATGAGATACTTTTTCGATTATTTTTGCGATACAATAATATGAATTTAGAATTTGTTTTCATTCATATACTCAGTGTTGCCGCCTCGAGTAAGATTATTGTGTGACATCTCCAGGCCCTATCTGGTCCCGTCTCACTTTGATTACCCTGTCAAACAAGTCAGCCTTTGCCCCTGGCCATACCTGTAGGAGAAGTTTGGTTTCATTGGTGTGTATATCCGTTCGGTTTTATGGAAAAAACTATCCTTGTCTTGTAAAGAAACTGAACTATTTTACTTTTACCTTTTCCTTCCTCTGGTATCCTTAGGATGTCGAGAGGAGGTGCAAGTTTCGGTCCTGTGCTATATGTGTAGCGTCTGTGATAGATATATATTGTTGTTCCAAGACCTTTTTAACCCCATCCAGCCAGGTCTTTCTTGGTCTTCCTCTTGATTGAAAGTCGGATTTTCGGGTGATGAAACTGAACAAAGGGCAAAAACTGTACCTTCGATTTTC